AAAAAGTAAACTGGCAGCTGGGTGAGGTGGCGCACGCCTGTAGTCCCAGCACTTGGGAAGCAGAGTCAGGCGGATCTCCGTGAGTTCAAAGCCAGCCTGGTCTACATAGTGAATTCCAGAATAGCTGGGACTACAGGGAGACCCTGTCTCAAAAAGACCAAAAAAAAATTAATTAATTAAATAAAATAAATTGGCATGGGGCAAGTGTATGAAAAAGGTTCAATATCACTAGTCATTAAGGAAATGCAAATCACCATGAGAGCTCACGGCTCCCTAGGGAAAAATGACCACAACCAATGCTAGCAAAGATGTAAAGGAAAGCTACACACCACTGTTGGGAATGTAAATAAGTACAAGCCACTGTAGAGAACAGTGTCTCAGTGTCTGGGGGTCCTCAGACACCAAAGTAGACCATTCCATGATCTTGCTATTTCAGTACAGATTCAAGTGAATTGAAGTGAACATGTTGAAGGTATCTGTACTTCCATGTTTACTGCAGCGCTATTCACAACAGCCAAGAAAAGAAACCGAGGTACCCAGGGAAAGATGAGCAGATAAAGAATGTGGAAAAGTATGCAATCATAAAAACAAAATCTTGCCATTTGTGGCAAGGATGGAAACGGAGGACGTTGTACTGAGTGAAATAAGCTGGACACAGAAAGACAAATATCACACATACAGAAGCTTAAAATGTGGATCTCAAAAAGGAACTGCACTGGATAGCTTTAGTTGTCCACTTGACACACCTAAGTAGAGGGAGCCTCAACTGGTGAATTTCCTCCATAGGACTGGCCTGTGGCCACGTCTGTAGGGCATCTTCTTGATTACTGAGTGATGTGGGAGGGCCCAGTCCACTGTGGGTGGTGTCACCCCTGGGCAGGTTGTCCTATGTTGTATAAGAAAGTAGGCTGAGCAGGGACCAGGGGAACAAGCCAGTAAGCAGCGTTCCTCCATGGCCTGTGCTTCATTCAGCTCCTGCCTCCAAGTTCCTGCCCTGAGTTCCTACCTTGGGCTCCCTGATGAACTGTGACCCAGGAGATGTAAGCCAAATAATCCCTTTCCTCCCTAAGTTGGTATTGGTCAGAGTGTTTTGTCACAGCAATTGAAAGTGGGCTAGTACAGGAAGAGAGAAGAAAAGGGATTACTAGAGGATATGCAGAGTGTGGGGAGGGGAATATGAGGAAATTCAAACAGTTGCATAGGGGGATGAGCTCTAGAGACCTACGCCACATCAGGGGACAAGAGCACAACTATGAAGATGTGACTTGTGCCATAATGCTACCTTCCTTCTGTGAGTCTATGGTGCTTTTAGGCTGAAGGTGCCCAACTGACCAACTTCAACAAGACTCTGCATCTCAGACAAGCTCCCTGACCAAAGATATAGAGTACATGCCACCATCCTTTGCTGCTGGAGGCAGGAAGCAGACATTCTGTATGTCTCTCCTAGGAAAGGAGACCCTCTGGAAGCCTTCCCCTGGTTTCTCCAGACCCACTAACCCAGCTGTTGCTGAATGTAGGAATGGTCCCAGGTGTTGAGCCATGCAGCTAATCAGAACTCAAAAAAAACAATGATAGTGTTGATTAGAAATAAACGAAATAAATATTGAAGGGAATAAATCTGTTCTAGAATAAAAAAGTCATAGATTTGGACCTTTTTCAGTAACCCAGGACTTGAAGTACTGTTGTTAATATACCTCACTAGGCTGAGTGGACTGCCACACACAAAGTTCTGGAAGTTTCCTGGCTGTTCCACCTGTCAGTCATCTATCTGGCAGTTCCAAAGTATTTCTCAGATACACAAGCTCACTAACAATCACCTCTTCAGGTTCCCATCATCTGCTCACCTTGCAGGCTCTGCATGCGGAGCCAACATTCTTGTCAATGTGCTGTAAATCACAGTTAAACCAACAACACACCTACCAGCCCAGGAAGCATTTGTCATTTGTTTCACACTACGCACAGAATAGCCACATTTATAATTTCCGAGGAACATCAGAATGCCAGGACGTTAGAGTTTCCCATTTCTCTTGATTAGCAAGTTGGTAAGTGTGCCACATGTTAATCCTTCCGCACACATGGCCTCAAGCTCCCATGTCCCTCATGAGCTTCCCCTGATACATGGAAGGGGCATACTATGTCCATCATACAAGGTGAAGATTCTGAGTCTCTGAGAGTTTCAAATTTTGTCCCGTCAAGGTCAGTCTTCAAGTTCATGCATGGAATGAGCCATGCAGAGGAGGTAGAAAACTGTGTATTCTGTTTCTCACTAAGTTTTGCTGGTTCTCTCATATCCCATCTTCTTATGTCAGCGCCCATGATTCACAAGTACTTCAGAACAGTTTCATTTTCCACCTAGAATAAGGGGCATGCTAATCTTTGGGAATGACGCTATTCCAATTTGACTGCATAGAAGTGAGCCCATCAAATCATCTGAGAAGTTAAAATATCCTGAGCATGCACACTAACTGATCATGGGAAGCAGACCTGGTACTTACCTCAAATATTATGAGAGTGTAAACCCCTGCGAGGATGGCCGCTGCGACAGTCACTTGAACTTCAACACTTGCTCCGAGGAACTGATGAGCCAACAAGAGAGGAACGAGCTGAGTCTGTTGGAGGGAGGCACTGATGCTAATGGAAACAGCTTCCCTGCAAAATGAAACAAAGATCTTGAGGCAATCCAGGGACACAGATCCTAGGTCAGTAATTACTGTATATACTATATTGAACATCCAGGCTTCAGTATTTCTGGTGGTCCTGGATACACCCTCTTATACACTGTGGGGAATTTTAGTTTCTTTTTCTTTTTTTTAACTAAAATTATTCTATTTTCAACCTGTATTCATGGTTCCTTGGTGTCAGTATGGCCAGAACCAGAACCCAGGGCATCTCACAATGATTCAGTCCACATTGTCTCACAGATAGACAAGCCCTGCATACAAGCCAGTGCCTGAGATGTGGGGCACAGTCTTTCTGAACCAGTCAACAAGGGCTCCTTGGTAGCACCCATCTCTCTACAGGTATCACTTCAACAATTAGTCTGCACAATAAGTTTGGCCATTTAATATCCTCTTATCCTCTTTATCAAAACAGCAGAGTGCATCTATTGCCAGCTACTTAAACTGTACCAAGAGTGGTAAAAAGCACCAAAAACAAGAAGCATACAAATAAGTACGATATGATGAATATCACTTTTCTAAAAGTTGGTGAGCCCATTGGGCCCACTCCCACTCTGAATTCATATGCTGAACTCCTAACCCCAGTACTTCAGAACGTGATTATCTAGAAATGGTCCTTAAGGAGGTCTTCATGGTTAAATGAAGTCATGAGGGTAGACCTTAGTCCAGTAGGACTGATGTCTTTCAGAAGAGATTAGGACACAGACACACAGGAAAGACACAGAAGCAAGGCAACTATTTGTAAACCAAGAGGGAAATCATCAGGAGAAGGAAAGCCTGTCAGCACTTCCATGTCAGATTTTCAGTCTCTTGAATTGTGAGTAAATAAACATGCAATGTTTCAGCCTTCATAATAGTAGCCCATACTGACTCGTGGTAACCATGAACACAGGTTGAAAACAGAGTACTTTTAGTTAAAGGAAAAGCAAAAGAAACCTAAAATTCCCCACAGTGTACAGAGGATGTATCCAGGACCACCACGAATACCAAAATCAGGATGCTCAAGGGACTTACATAAAATGGCATAGTGTTTATATAATAATAAAATTCAAACATTTACTAAAACATGTCTTTGCTATAAAGTGGGAACTGAAGCCAATCCTCTTATGCCCTGACCAGGATAATTAAGATGGCTCCCACAGCCTTTGTGCTTGATGACAAATCACATGACTCATCTGCCATTATTTGGGCCAAAGCTTGGTGTCCTTCAGGCCAAACTTCTTCGAGTAAGTGATGTATTCCCTGGTATGAATGTATTCCCCAAAAGATCTGGTGCTGGAAACTTAATGTCCAAATTTAGATGTTGATAGTATTTGGAGGTGGGACTTTGGGACATATTTAGGGTTAAATGAGGTCATAGAGTGAGTCCCCATGATGATCTTAATGGCTATAGAAGGAGAGAGACCCAGGCTGGCAGGCTTGCTCTGTCTCATGTATTTTGATGCAGCCAGAACACCTCACCGTGTGCTGAGCAGATGTTGGCTCCATGCTCTTAAACTTCTCAGGCTCCAGAAGAGTAAAGCAAATGAACATCTAGTACTTAGAAGTCACCAGTCATCTATGTTCTGCTACATCAGCAGAAAACAGACTAAAGGCAGTGAGCCTTACCCAGAAAACCTGCCCTAAGACACAAGAACCCACCTGCTTAGTATTTCAAAGGTCTTGCTCACCACCAAGTGCTCATTTCTTGGATTTAAAAGTACAGTCCAATTGTGAGTGACCTGTAGAAGCCATAATGTGAAATTATAATAAGTCTTTAGGAACAACTACAAGGAAAAAAGGGGGTACATACTTACAACAGACACAGTTTTTACTACAAATATTGAATCTTTGAATCTAGAACCCATAGATCAGGAAGGCCAACTATACTGAATATGAGTAAAATAAATCACTGCAAATTACTCAAGTTATTTGAATCATAGACAAGCTTTTAATCCTCTGAGGCAACTTGCAGGAAATGCTTCCTTAGAACTGTTTCCTGCTTACAGTCAGGAGGCACAAGGCTACCCCAGAAAATTTCACCCCCTTTGTCACAGCAGCCTCTGCACACAGGGCGGGACTGAAGCAGCATCTGCTGCAGACAAACCTGCCCAGCACAGCAGGGGGCAGCCCTGAGGACCAGAGAAGGGATTTTCAGTGGGAGGACAGGAGTCTTTCCCACAAATCAAAAAGAAATTGGAAGCAGAAGCTCTAAAATTGGTTTCCACAGAGAACTACATACATAAGAAAATAGAAATCCTCTTAAAATACTTGCGTGTTTGCAAAGAGCTTCTTTAGGGGGAAGCTTCAGTAAAGCCCTTGTGCTCTTTGTGTTTCTGGAGATGGATGTGCAAAGCACCCGCATGTTACAGAGGGCCTTCTGGCAAGGGCAAGGAGGCACAGCACAGCTCATTTAATTTGTGTAATAAATATGCATGGCTGAGAAGGCAGCTACAAAGCAAACCTTCCTTCTAGTGATCCGTAACCTAGCAGGGGAACTATAATCAACAATGTGCGATATGTTTCAAAATAACTCAACGAGTGTGAAGTTTCCTGACACGGAGCCGATATATGTTTGAGAAGATAGAAATGTTAATTACCTGATTCAATTATCATACATTGTATACATGTGTCAAACCATCATATTCCACCACAAAAGTATGTGTTCATATTATACCAATTAAAACTTTTAATTATAAAATAGATTTTAAAGCCAGCGGGATATCCTGTCCTCCTCCACATAAGAATCACAGACAAGGTAGACAGATCTGCCCTCCTTGTTCACTTGCAGTGAGCTGTGCATTTCATATGTGGGAGCTAAGTTTCTGTCCTAAGACCATGCTAGGGTATAGAATGCTGATGTTGCATCAGCTATTGACAAGAAAACATTCTTTGTTTACAATTAGAATTTTGCTTTGTGGACCATAATCTGCATGGAAGAAAGATATGAGGGGCACAGCCTTGCATGTAAGCAGGGTTTCCTTGTAGGGGCTGGTTATAGCAGGGAGAATTCACAAACCCAGGACATGGCTTCCATACAGGAGTCCCTGTGAATATCCCGTGGAGTCACTAACACGAAGACTTGGAAACAGTAAGGCTGCAGAGAGATAAGTCATGTCTTTGACGCCCAGGCTCTGACTGCCATGACTCTCACTGGGGCTGGTTCTCCCCCTAAGCACAGATACATTGTCAGAGCAGAAGCTGAAGGTGAGGCTCTGCGTGGGGGTCTATAGACACAAACATAGAAGCTTGGGAATCTATGTGCTTAGCTATTGTCACAGATATAAGGCACCTGTGGTGTCTGCCTGTCTTCTGTACTGTGAGGTGAGCCTCAAATTGAGTTACACTTTACAACAAAAACTGCTTTCAAGTCTATAATGTTTCCCTGACAATCTAGTAAAATGGATCTGCGTGATGAACTTATGAGTCTGATTTTACTATAATGGCAAGAGTTTTAGAAATGTTTTAGAGAAAAGAGAAAAGGAATTTCAATGACAAAGCAAAAGGATAAGCATCAGTGGCTTCGTTAATAATAGTGTTACTGCCTTTTGGCTTCCATCAAATTCATTCAACAGGAAACTCAATTTATAATGAGATGTAATGGGATTTTACAGTTCCTTTCAAATCATATGTAACTGTACCTGTTGTGATTGTCGCCACCTGGAGCCCATTGAGTCCGTCTGGGTCACTGTCACCACAACATGCTCTTCTTTCCCTGGACCACTTGGGCCACCAGCCATTAGGGCCCCTGCCAGGTCCACCTGCAGCAGTATGGAGTCCACATGGCTGCTGAGGTTCACAGCTGAGGGTGCATCAAGGCGAACCACAAAGCAAGAAGGAACAACCTACTGTTCCCCAACCACCCTCCAGACACACACCCTCTTAGGACAGCTCACAAAGAAACGTATATCCAGCCATTTGCTCCCACTCGCCCGTTCCCTGGCCCACTTCTTATCCCTCCAGCCCCCACTGCTACTCATGCAGTTGGTTCTACATTGTTCCATCCTGTTTGTTGCCCTCTGCTGGACATCTGAATGGTGTCTACCCAGTCCTCATTCCTGCCACCACTTTTTGCAGCTATCATAAAATTCCTACCCAAGTTCATGGGCTCACAGAAGAATGCCTGCATGAATGAACTAACCCATATCAACATCCAATTCATAAGGTATCAAATCCCTAGTTATATGGTGAAAAATCATAAAAAGCATTTAAAGAATTCTGAAATTAGCAAAAATACATAGCAGTGAATGGACAGAAATGCTTTCAAAGTGTGTTGAAGTGTTGTTGATGAGGAAAGTGCTATCAGGAAACGACACAGCTCACTGTGTCTTCCCATAGCACTCGGAGCTCCAAAGTAGCCCTTCCCCATAGCTCCTGTCACTGATACGTTTGTGCAAACACAGGAGCTCTTACTCCTCAGCCCCTGTGTGCTGTGTCCTGACTCTCAAGACCTCCCACCTCTGCTGTGGGGTCTGGCTGCATGGAGTGCCTAAAAGTAGCCATGGACAGCTAACCCAGTCATTTTAACCGAGGAGACAGAACTGTCGTAGTGAACAAATAAAGTTTACAATCTTCTAGGCCTCACATCAGGTCTCTGAGGACTGCAGAAGAAGCTTATTGTGTTTAGGATGATTCAGTGGCCATTTCTTTTGCTTTTCCTTCAATCTCCAATAAAACAGCAGCTGGTTTACAGAGGCAGAAAGTTGCCAAGTATTTACAGGGTTTTCTTTGATTATTGAGGAAGGCTCTGTGAATTGGGTCATTTTCTTTTATTATTTTATTCATCTTTGAAATACTGTTTTTTTATAATTTTTTACATGTGTGTTGCCTGCATGTATAGAAGTACACCAGTACATGCAATGGCCATGGAGGCCAGAAGAGGATGCCAGATCCCCTGGAACTGGTGTTAAAGAGGGTTGTTGGCTCTTAGATGCTAGGAACTGAACCTGGGTCCTCTGGACAAGCAGCAAGTGCTCTTAACCACTGAGCCATCTCTCCAGCTCCGAAAATATAGTGGGTTTTGTTCTGGGTTTTGTTTTGTTTTGTTGTTTTTTTAACTGTATAAAAACTTTCTAGTAAAGAGTTTGGTCAGTCCTGTCATCTGTTTGAGCTGCTGCACACACCACTCTGCTACTTGGGTCCCAGAAAGGGCAAATGGAAAATGGAGGTGACAAGTGGTGCAGAATTTACAAAGAAAAGGCCCAGGAGACCCTGTTGCTCTGCCACACCTGAAATTATTCCAGTATTGGTCTTTTCCCCAAAAGCAGACTCGGGAGAAACTGCTTAACGCTGAAGGGATTGAAAGCCTTGAAGACACAGGAAGTAGAACAGTGCCACCTAGAGGAAAGGCTCAGAAGAGCAGTGGGCTTCTCCCAACAGAATCTAAGCACTTTCTTTCCTTATCTACCATACATTAAAGTGAACAGATAAAACAAAGTCTTTCTCATGTGGTGTAGTCGTTGCTTTTCTCCTCCCTGTGACCACATACCTGACAGTTATTGAATCTGGCTCACAACTTGAGAAGATACAGTCCTTCGTGGTGGGGAAGGCATGACGGCAGACTGCACTGGGAGCATTCAAAGGCTGGCAGAGAAAGCCGAGGGCCAGACCAGGACTAGACCACGACCCTCAAGCCCCGCCCCCCCACCCCC